TATTGGATTGCTAAGACGTATTATCTAAAAAATCCGAATACTAAGAAATGGGAATGTATCCAAGTGGATACATCCGGCCACTAAGGGACAAATTTTGAAAAAGTAATTTCTTTTTGTCCAGTAAAATTTGATATTTTATGATTTTTCTTACATCTACACTTGTGGATGAAATCACATGTTGCCTGTTTCTCGATGTTTTGGAGTCCAAAACTTGAATATTTCTAGAATCTTCTAAGATTCTGCAATATAGTGCAATAGTAGCTCAATTTTTTCCGAAAATTTTTAGAAATTCAGAAACATTCTAAAGAGTTTCTGAGCATTTTCTAGTGTCCTGAACTAGGTCATCACGAAATATTCAGCAACTCTCTTCAATATTCCTGAATTTATAGAAATTCTCGGAAAAAATTGGGCTACTATTGCACTATATTGCAGAATCTTAGAACATTCTAGAAATATTTAAGCTTTGGACTCCAAAACATCGACAAACAAGCAATGTGTGATTTCATCTACAAATATAGATGTAAGAAAAACCATAAAATATCAAATTTTGCTGGACAAAAAGAAATGACTTTTTCAAAATTTTTGTCCCTTAGTGGCCGGATGTATCCAAACGGATATATGAAGCCATTAGATGTCGAAGCACTTATTGGTTCTGAGAAATAAACTTTTCCTATCTCCATGGTCTAGGAGCAACGGAAATCCATAAAAAAACTTTTTTGTTATATGTCTTCTAGTAGCCGGCTGGAAAGGGTTAATGTCATTACGTATATTTTTTTATGAGTTGCAATTCATTGATAATAATTTGGTTAAAAAAAATGATGATGTAAAGAATTCAATTTGATCCTCGTAAACCTTTCTGGTTTTTTTTCTACATTTTAACAAGGGTGTGGGTGTGAATGGATAGAAAGCTGATATCCACACCCTCACACCCACACCCTCACACCCACACCCTCACACCCACACCCTCACACCCACACCATCACACCCACACCCACATCCCAAAATTCTCAATTCCTTCAATAAAATTTTACGATTAATTGTCATTTGAGTATGTCTTGATGGATTACCTTTAACTATTGATTTTGTTTATTTGGGTGTTGTGATCGTATGTAAACCCAGTTGTGATGCGTTAAATATTCTTACAGATAAATTCGCGTATTTCCGACACAGTGTAGTTTTTTTTTGTAGAGATCACTTTAAAATGAAGGATGCATGGTGCAGAAGTTTTATGCGAATATCATTTTTATTCTTATGCTATTTATCAGTCAACACTCATACTCACACCCCGAAAAGGTGGCAGTTTTGATGTATACCATAGAAAAAGTTCAAATGGTACTCGAGTGTGAGTGTGTGTATTAAAATCAGAGATATAATCATTCTAACAACACATCCTATACTTTATTCAGTATATTTATTGAGACTAACATAAAGGTTGATAGAACGATTTACAATACTATTGATTTTGCGCACCATCTATAATCTTTTGAAATTCGTTTATGAGTTTTTTAGTCCAGATTATATGAGGATGATCCGACGGAAACGAATTACTTTCTAATATATATAATACTTTATACACGCAATTTAACGCAGCCATTATATATCTTTGTTGCATCAGAGCAAAGCTCATTTCCTTATAGGTCCAAGCAATAGAAAGGTCATTCAATGGTAGATATGCTAGTTGAATAGATAGTAATTTTTCATAGTCTTTTATTGCTAGTTCATAATTTTCATTCTTCTTATGAATTCCGGCAATTTTTGTAAGAATTTCAATGATTTGTGTATGATATGTGTTCAACGAAGCCTTTTCATATACTGCTAAGGCTTGTCTATAATAAAATAACGCTTCATTTAATGTATTTATATCTGAGTGAATATCAGCTAGAATTTTGTAGATTTTTCCAACTTCAATGTGGTCTGAAGCACAAGCTAATTGAATCGATAATGCTTTTTGATAATTGTCTAATGCGAGATCATATTCGCTTTTCTTGTAATGTAAATTAGCAACGCACATTAATATTACTGCTCTTGTCGGATGGTAATCTGGTAACACCTTTGTTAGAATATCTAATGCTTTATTGTAACATAATAAAGCTGAATCATAATCATTTTTTTTTAAGTAATCATTACCGAGATTAATGTAAATTCCCGCCGTATCAGAATCATAATATCCAAAAATCTTCAAATGAATATCTAAGGCTTGATTATGGTAATCAATTGCTGCGTTATAATCATTTGTAGAAGTGCCTAAGCAATTGAAGATAGCACATAATCGTAATTGATTCAATGATGATTTACTTAATTCTAGTTCTAACGCTTTTGTAAAAAGTGAATAAGCCGTTTTAGCATCTCCAGTTTCATTTGCCACAGTACCCATATTTATATAACATACTGATATGTCTGGATGAGTTTCTGGTAATAATTTGACTAATCTTTTGTAATAACGTTTAGCTTGATCATATTTTCCCATCTGAAAGAAAATATCTCCAACTGTACTGATATTCGTTTCTTCTGGAATCTCTTGTTTTATTATTTCAAACATATCTCTTAAATTGTTGTCTTCAGTTCCCGATAAAACCAGTTTGATTATCGATAATTTTTCATTCTCATTCTTTGAAATGTCCAAAATTTTAAATACACTTCCAGCCATAAACAGAACTTCTTGTTCCATTTCAAATTGACTTAAATGTGTTACATTGGCAAACGGTTTTGCACCATGTAGTCGAGTGTTAGCTTCAATTTCAAACAAAACTGAAGTTTTTCTAATGTCCTTATTATAGATTTTGGCATGAGATATTGCAACACGTCGATTAAGAGAAGTAGAAAGAAGTTTATTGAAGGAGATAAATTTTGTTTCGTTAGTTTTAAGACTTTCTAATTCTTCAATGATCATTATCTGTCCACGATAAACCGTTACAACTGGAACGTCAAACTTCTGTTGTTCGTTAGCAAGTTGTTGATATAAGTCACGAATAAGAAAACGAAATACAAGTAAAACTTCGAAATCTTGTCGATTCAATGCTCTATTTAAAATTCGATAAATAAATGTTTCACCAGTATACCACCATACAGCGTTTACAGAAGTATACGCTTCCTCTAATTGTTGTAGAATTTTTTCTTCAACAGAATTATTACGATAATTTCTATCACAGACAAAAATTATATCTTCAATACTCTTGCGTAAATTGTCATCTTTCATTCTAATTAATACTTCAATAAACAGCTGAAACCAAATAAATTTACTATTTTCATTCGTCAGATTTAAATGAGTTTTTGCTGATGGTTTGAATATTGTCAGTGGTAGGGCATCATTTTCTGCTTTCCTTAGATCAGTGTAATTTGCAGTTATTTGATTAACTAAAGCAGCTGGCGTATCCAAAACACCATTTATCTATAAGAAAAGTTGTTAGCGCAATCCGTGTGAGGCACCGTCTATCTCGTATCAAGAAAAATAATGATAAATCATCTCATTATTGTCTGATACTATAACGCTAGTAAGAACGAGAATGTTTTATTATGTTATATATCAAATGATAGGGTATGAATAGTTGAAAAAAAAGAGCTGTATGAAATATTTTGTATCATTCCTTTACTAGGCTACATCGAAGAAAATGACCTTGAGCATTTTCCAAGTACAAAAATGGTTCTTCTACTACTAAATGACTGCTAATAATAGATTTCCAGCATATGTTTGTGACCAGTTATCTTACCTGTGTCTTTCTGATTGATCATATTTGAATTACAAGAAAAAGAAACTTTTTCAAAATTTCCGTACTCCTCCTCAAGGTTCCAACAGGATCGAATTTTTTTTCACTTTTATATGTCATTTGATCCACGACAGACTTGTGATTCGTGGGAAGTGAACGTCCTTGGAAAATGTTCAAGGTCATTTTCTTCGCTGTAGCCCAGTAAAGGAATGATATACAATATTTCATATGGCTCATTTTTTTCAACGTATTATCAGACAATAATGAGATGACTTATCATTGTTTTTCTTGATACGAGATAGACGATACTAAAAGTCGATTCAGGTTAAGTTTACTATACAAAGTCCAAATGAGCTAAACATTTAAAATTATGAGTTTCAGATATGGTTCTTTCAAATGCACATAAAAAATGAAGAATTTAAATTTTGATGAGGGCTTCGGTACTTTAGTGCTGCTATGGACACTCTTTTTTTAAATGCGAAATACGACTAAGCAGCTCACGTCGTAAATGAGTGCTTTACCGACACATCTGTCACATCTGTGGGGAGAAGGATGGACGCAAAATTTCTATCGCTATACACAACAATACTTCTTTTGGATCGTGTTTCCTCTATTGAAATTACCTTATCATATCGTTGAACCCAGTCTTTGTGTTCATCTTTGTCATAGCAATAAACATAGATTGATATGATGCATGTTAGCTGGTGAACTTGCGGTACAAGTTCTCTTCCTAATGCTCCAGACACAATCAAAATAAATTTTTCGTCTTCATGTTTTCTGATATAGCTAAAGCATTCGTTAGATGATTGAAATGTTGCTACAAAGTTAATGATTTCGCGTAGTTTAATGTGAGTTTGTCGGCTGTCTTCATTCGAATTTACCTTTTCATCACACCATAGTAGAGAATAAGTTTCAAGATTACTATATTCCGGAACTAAGAGTCAGAAGTATTTTGTATGAGAAAATTATTTGTTTTTTTCTGCTAATGTAATATCAGTGACTTACTTTTACTAGTAGACTCTAACGGATCCGCATCATAGTGATAGATTTTAATCGGTTGTGATACATCAGCACTGTAAATTTCTGCTCCTAAATAAGAATTGACCGCTTCTACGAATGAGATTTGATCTATTTCATTTTCTTCAACGTTATCAAGCATTTGAAATATAGCACGATGTTTCGATCGTGTATGATGATTATTCATATATTCCAGGCTTGCACTCTCGAACGAAAATTCTTTTAATGAAAGTGGCATATGTATCACCGTAAGTTTTGAGCTTTCTGGCGAAAAACTGTTCCTAGTGTTATTTTCAGGGCTGCTTTTGGACGAGAAACTTTCGGAATTATCACGCATATTTTCTACGGACGAGATAGAAGATGAACATTTTTCATTTGTTGTACACAGCATTTGATGCTCCATAGACATTGATAAATCATCCATGTTCGATGATGCAGTTAAAGATCTACCATAATTATTGATATCATTGGAACGTTTTGAAGAATTCATTTTCTTGATTTTTTCATCTACTTTTGTCATGGTTTCTGAGAATAAATCCAACATGGTATCTCCAGAAGATAAATGGGTTGGTAGAACTGTTCTAGTCAAGTTTTGTTCAGATACGGACGGAATTTTATCTGCTTTGTGAATTGTATTTTCCGCTTTTTTTGAATTCATGGTCTGGCCAATTAATCGATTGAATAGTTTTTGACGCAAACGATCGCCATAACTGCAGAATTGATCTAGCCGTATTTTATTTTTCTCCATACTTATTTCAATTAATTGATCACTTATTATCTCGAAGAAATACGGCTATTAACATCGACGTAACTGTACTCTAAATAGATGTGTTAATTTACATCACCCGTATGTAAGAAATCTTAAGGGTAATGAGATCGATAAGATAACATCATTTTTGTGTTTGTTGGAGTGTCTTATCAAAATTAAAATTTATTGATCGAAAAAAATGAGCTCGACATTACGTAGTATAGACGGTTTTATTTTTTACCCAAGCAGCGAGGCTTCATATGAAAAATATTTCTCATGTATGTATTGTCAGTAATTTAAGTCACTAACGATATACTTACTGTGAAAATAATATATAAGAATGACTGAAATTGAAGAAAAAGTAAAAATGAAATAAAATATAAACACGACCAACGTGAACTTTTATTTTTCCTTTCTTATAATTATTATTGGAGTAAAGTGTATGTTTCCTCCAGTTAGATAGTAAGAGTATGAGAAAGGAAAGAAATGTTGACAACTCTGTTTTTTTTTAATATTTTATATTTTATGGGAGAGTGCGCAATCCCTCATGTTGTTCCGTCAAGAAAAGTAATTTAAAAGAAGAAAAAAGAAAATGAAAGGAAGTGGAAGAAACAGTCGCTGTAGATATAATGGTAATGGTGCGTCATCGATACGTTTTCAACGGCATTTCACATTTCTAATAGAAAGAAAATAAACGCAAGAGTGTAAAATGTAAAGAATAGTCGCTTATTTTTTAATAATACTCTTTTTTTAATTTTGAAGAAGCATGGGGAATGGTTGGCGTTCAGTTAGAAGAGTTCCAGATGTCGAGACTGCAAAATTTCGTGGTGTTCTCCTTCGACGGCAATTGTTACCAATACAAACTCAGTTATGTCATGTTTTCATAAAACTAAAATCATAGGTCGTTTCTCGAACCCAATCAATTCTGTGAAAATAACTAGAGAAATTATTTCGAATACTCGATGAAACGAAATTATGAATTAACTGATGCCTTTGGTTTTTTCTTCGAATTTTCATTATTTGTGTATATATTATGGGAGTGCCCAACTTGAAGGATACCTAATGGTCCATTTATTCATCTATGCTGTTAAAGAATAGAAAAGGAGTATATGTAACTATGCAATACTGAATTTTACTTCCTTTGACTTTCGATGATGAATATCATTCAGAAAAATAAATGATATGTGAGTCGTGCTTCGATAGCTCAATGGTTAGAGCACTGGTCCGGATAACCAGTAATCATATCGTGGGTTCGATTCCCGAACGAAGGGGGGGTGGGGGTGGGGCTGGATGTGGGTGTGGGTGGGTGGGCGAGCGGGTTCTCTTCCCACTAACACTCACATACACACACCCACACCCACACCCACACCCCACCATCTTTACTATAATAATAATTATTTCGAGTTAAATTGTTTAAGATAAATTTCATAATATATACGTATGATCTACTTCTCATTGACAAATATAAATTAAATTAACCTTTAACTATAATAGATAATTATCAAAACATTTATTTTATTACAGAAATGACAAATCTTAGCAAGTTTTCATAAAAAAATTCTATTTTTCAAAAAATTATTTTCGAATATTTGATTAATCGAAGCACATAGAGCCAAGGGCAAAAAAGCGGATCCTGCTGGAGGGTGTGGGGTGTGGATGTGGGTGTGGGTGTGGGTGTGGGTGGGTGTGGGTGTGTGTATGTGAGTGTTAGTGGGAAGAGAACCCGCTCGCACACCCACCCACACTCACACCCACATCCACACCCACACCCATACCCTCACGCCCACACCCACGCCCACACCGACCCACTCCCACGCACCCCCACCCACCCACACCCGCACCCACACCCACACCCACACCCACACCCACACCCACACCCACATCCACACCC